TCTGGATCCAAAGGATCTTGTTGACGGCGCGCACGAGCGCGATCTTGCGTCGCAGCGATAGATGAGGGTGCGATAGCATCGCTTCAACCCAGATGTCTTGGATGTATCCCAGGCATACGCCGAGGTGGATGTACTCGATGTTCAATGGTAACATGCGTGATTGTCCGCTGTGCATCATGCTGTGTTACAAAACCCCAACGTTAGCATGTTGCACCACCACAAAATATCGACTCCCCGGGGCCGGGAATCGGGGAACGGAAAGGCGGGGTTTTGTGTGTGAACTTACCCAACCTTGTTCAAGTACCGCCAGAAATCCATTGTGGTCGGGTCCTGGCATAGGCGCGTCAGGTACCAGCGCAGGAACATCTTGCGTCGCTTGATTTTCGGTGTCTCTTCGTGGAGATAATCCTCTTCGGGCTCAGTCTCGTCGACTGTTGTTCGTGTGTGGAAGGCCCGAGATGTGATGTCGTATTGGAGAATCTTTTTATATACCAGGTTGACCACTGCCGGGATCAATTGCTTGATGTATTTGTTGCCGGACAAGAGTGCTTCGATATCGCCTGGGAAAACGTTAGTGGCTGTGAGATGACACTTTGGGATCGGTTTATGGTAAGAACTTACTGGAGTTGAAGTCAAGGAAGCTGTGGAGGTACTTGATTCGCTCTTCCAAGTTTGTATAGAGCAGCTTCCGGTCGATATGCATCGGCTCAGTAGCCGATCCCATATTGTGATCCATGCTGCTAGTGTTGATATTTTCTAGTGTGTTTAAAATCGCTCTTGGCGAACGGCTGGGGTCTTGTCTGAAGTGCGGAAGGAAGATCGGAGATCGAGTATAAAAAAGAGAAGACAAAACTGGGGAACCTGGTGACAAGCTGGGGGAGCGAGTATTTATACCATGGATGCGCGATACTCGTTCAGATTACTCCTTTCGCCGTTCTATATTGTATGCAACCCGGTTACGAAGTACATTGGGAGCCACCAAACCGTAAAACACATGCTATCGGGGATCCGCTCTTGGCAATCCTGGAACCAGACGGTGCGTGACTCGTACCCAGAAAAGCGATATTACCCGATTCCATGCAGGCTCAATAATATCAAGCCGAGATTTTCCTCGAATACTTTATTTCATCGAGCAAGCAAAGTGCGCATGGTCGAATCAGACCACAGAGATGATTCGGTCACTACCCAAACCTTGGCAGTGGAGTGATCATCCGGGCATGTGTGGGCTGATCCCTGTAATCTCCAATTAAGCAAAAAAGGAAAAAACCGAAACAGACGTAAGCCATTGACGGCACACGATCCATGGTTGCCGGGCTGTCAGGCTCGGTAACCCGAAACAAGCGACTTTGGCAAGGTAAAGAAGACTGCAAGCTCAACTCGAACCCTTCATTTTATATCTAGCTTACGATCAGATGGCGTTTTTGGCATGTCGGGGATAAAACACTAAAATCATACATATCAATTCTGCGAACCCTCCCGTGCCAACAAGACAAATGGATTATAGATTGGAATGGATATATCGGCATTTGCATTTCACTTTCGCTCACTGGCTATGGACATTCGGGCTCCGCTACGGGCTCAACGGCCTAGCTTGGGACCCGCGATGGAGTGGGTTCCGTTCGGGTCCGACTGGGTTGCGGACCTGGTGATGTTCGGGTGCCTTAGGATGTAGTCTTCATAGGAAAGATGTGCCATTAGTCGTCATTTGATCGGGACTCCAGAATTTTAAGTTTGAATCCAAGATCTTGAGATCACCAACTTGAATTTTAAACATCTATGACAAAACAATTGGCCCAGACAGGCAACCACACCGCTGAATAAGAATATGCTTCTAGAAAATACCCGGTGGATATGTGGGGTCTGAAGGAATGCACAGTTTGCAGACCACTAAGGACAGCAGGGGTAATCGAAGCTAACGGGTAATAGCGTGGAAAAATCAGCAAACACATGCATATCAAGCGAGGTATGGAGTAGATCCTAGTTAAATCTATTAAAACACGAACTGGTGTCGTGTGATCGTATGGCCTGATCGGGCTAACCCACTGGTATGGCATGATCAACTGGTTTTAGAAAATATTATTAGCATGAAAAATTTTCACCTAACCAAAGGGGCCAAAAAAAACTTGGAGGCCCCTCATACTGAGCATTGATTCTTTCAAGATTCCCTTTATCTTGTTATTTCCTTTATCTAGGATGTTTCGAGAAAACCGCCGCTGTAGACGATCACTACCGCCTTCGTGAGGGCTTCTTTCACTGCTTGGGTCTAGAACAGGGCTGATACTCGAGACTGCCGCGTATCCATGAAATCTCACCAGCTCCAGGGCTTCATCCCATGGTTTTGTGATGAAATTTAATCTAATTTGATTTCTGGAAAGATTTGATGGTGACAGCGGCCCCGCGGCTGTGGAAAATACCATCAGCCAGTCAAGATGCTCCTAAATGAAATTGTGAAACAGGGGCGTTGAAGAAAATACTGATCTTGAGCTCCAAAGCTTATCAACGGCGATAGATCATTTATGATAACACGGCTTTTCCATTTCGGGACAATGAGCCGATATAAGATTATATACTCCATACTCATCACATTCATCCAGATAGCCTCGGATGGCGTAGTCTGTCCACTAAATACATTATGAGCTCTCAGTCGTTTTGCTCCGTGCGGCCGCAGCATCATAGAGAGCCTTAATATCTTCCTGCCACTGCTTCACGTCGACTCTTGCCACGCGGCGGTCATACGTAGTCAGGCCGTTCACCTCACCCTCAACATCAGTTGTCTGCGTCCAGACGCCCCCACTGCATGCAAAGAGGCGGACCTGATCCTCAAGCTCATTCAGGAGAAGGTGGCTGCGATAATTCCATGCCTCAATGGTAGTGTCAATTTCATATGTTTGGTCGATAGTATTAATGGCTGCCTGGTTGTTCCAGAGATGCTCAATGGATACATTGGTCCCGATACCGCCAAATTCACCTTGGAACCCAATCCGGGTGGGGTCGTATGGGCTCGAGGGTGTGGAATAGAAGGGAGTTCCACATTGCGGGTTTGCGTAATGGTGGTTGTCCTAAGACTTGTTGATTAGCCACGTGGTTCAGCCACAGGGGAACCTTGGAAGAGTGCATACACTAAAGTCTCCAGCGCCATGGTCATCCCAACCAGTCGTCGAGTCCACAAGCCGAGTGGGGTCCAGCTGTCTAACCCGCTCTGTCAGCTCAAACTCGGGGTAGTATTCTGTGATCTGGCCCCAGGCTTCGTTGTAAATAACCTATAGATAGTAGCTGCCGTCAGAATATCTCTTGCTTTTACCGAACACCTTCACTTACCCAAGTTACAATACTGGGGAAGCTCTTGAACTGGTTAATCAACACATCCAATTGACGAGCAAACTCAGCCTGCTGCTTCTCGTCCGGTAGAATAGTAACCGAGTTGCCGTTTGCGTCCTTCTTGGACTGCAGCGGGCGCAGGGAAGGCATGTCTTGAATTACAAGCAGACCTAGCTCGTCACATGCTTGATAGAACAGATCCGTTTCGACTTTGATCTGCATTCCACGGTGTGAGCACGAGAAATCATGGGATATGATGCGATACTGTGACACTCACGTGCTTGCGGACCATGTTGAATCCCAACTTCTTTAGCATCTCCAAATCGTAAACCATCGCCTCCTTGCTGGGGGGCGTGTATAACCCATCGGGCCAATAGCCTTGATCCAAGGTACCAAACATGAAGATAAATTCTCCATTGAGCAAGGGCCGCTCAATCCCGTCAATCTTACCCCGGGAGATTGTGCGGAAGCCAATATAGCTCTCCACTTCATCTTTGCCAAGTTTGACAGTCACGTTGTACAGGTCAGGTGAGTCTGGGGACCAGAGCTTGGGCGAAGATACGGTGAATTGGAATGGCTCGTTGGTGGGGCCTTTGTGGCTTGCAACAGTCTTGCCATCTTTGTGGACAGTGACCTCGGCCTGGGCGGATGTCTCCTTGGCGGAGCCGTGTACAGTGATGTTTACTACATGCAGTCAGAATCAAGCAAAAGTTTCCACAATCTGCCACCAGAGACTTACCTTGACCATCCATGTTTGCGTCAAGATCAAGTTGGGTAATGTGGTTGGAAGGGGCAGCCTCAAGCCAAACAGTTTGCCATATACCACTGCACGGGGTATAAAAGATGTGACTGGGTCTCAGGGTCTGCTTTCCAATGGGGATAACATAGTCACCACTGTCAGTAGGATCATGTACGAACACAAGTCTGTATTCAAAGTCAGATATGCAAGTCGGCTGCGTTGTGGACCCGGGATGCTCACAGCTCATTCTGCTGATCAAACTTCAGGTATTCCGTCACGTCTAACGCGAAGCGGAAGTATCCGCCACGGTGGAATCCAGCCCTTTTACCGTTGACAAAGACTGTGGCTTCATAGTCTACGGCCCCAAAATTGAGCACTGCCTGCTCCCCCTTCCAAGAAGAGGATACTTCGAAGGATGTCGAAAACCAAGAGTACAAGGCCGAATCGGTTTGGATTCCTGCGAATATTTGTTACTTTTTTGATGACAATGCAGCAAGCATGGTAAGACCTACCAGACAATCCACTCTCAAGACACGACGGAATCAAAACATCCTGTTCAAGTTCTTGCCCGAAAGGTGGCTGCTGAAGAGCATCGAGGTTTGGAGCACTTTGATACTTCCACACCCCATTGAGGTTCTTCCATTCAGAGCGCTGCAGCAACGGCCGTGGATACTCGGGCCATGGGTTCGTTCCGACTTTGTCAGTCCATGGCGTTGTCAAGGGAGGCTCTTTAAGAGAGTAACCCGCACTGCGCGCCTTGTTTTGCTGGTGCTTTGTGTCCTCATAGCTAGGCAGAGCTATACTAGTCGCCGCCAGGCACGATAAGACAAAACTCTGAACTAAATGCATGTCGATCGGAAGCACTCAGCTCTTCTGACAGAAGTACACGCACACAACAGCGATAGTACCGAAGATCTTCGGAATGAAATATCACATTCAGGCCATGATTCGGCCGGTCCCTGGATTTAAATACATCGGACCCTACTACTACGCGGGACTAACAGGCTCATGGCACGGTGCTTCCCTGCATACAACATGCCCACTTGGCAGAGACGCCCCCACAAGGGCTAACCCCGCAGGAAGTACACAGGACGCCGAGAAATTTAGATTCACTAAGGATCGTGAGCATTTCGGCCGCTGGCTGGTGTCTGACCACAGGGAGCAACATCCACTGCTTGGCGTTACTGACAGCACAGGAGCCAAGAGCAACGGCCAAGAGCCGGCGAGCAGCAATGATGTCGATGTGCACATAGTCAACAAATATTCCGTCACAAAGGGTGAGCTGCATCTTGCCTACTACGGGCACTCAAGCTGTGGGTTTTCAAGACAATGCGAAATTATCAGAACACTACTGACACAAAAATAGTAGACCCATCCACAATTTTCACAGCTAAACCCCATGTCTGGCTCTAGAAAGCGACAAATCATAGCAGCTCTGGGTATTCCGTGGAGCATTTCTGGCCAGCACAACACGAGTCACGCGACAGAATGTTCGGTTTGTGCCGACTATGCCTAATACCGCGAAAACTCAACGCCGATCGCAACACACGGGCGACAGCCGATCTGTCTTTCCAGGCATACATTTCCTGTGCAAGGGAAATCATGTTGCTTGCTGTATCATCCGTTAGCCGAGATATGCATATCCAAGCCAAGTCAAAGAATGAAGTCATGTTTACATGGAATGATTCGATCTTGCATTGTTAGTTCACCCAGCAAGGATCGTGTTCCTATCCAATCCCTTGCGTCCGGATTGCATGGCACATCCACATCGAGTAGGATACATATTTGATTAAGTGGTCTAGCCACGATCTATCAATCTACCATATATCCCGAGGTCATTCACTCACTCTTCGTAGCTGACCAACATCGCGCTACCCCGCTGTCTCCGACGACGTGGTAGCTTGACGTTGTATCAACTTTCAATTTAAGAATACGAGAGGTCGCCCTGCCCCTCCGAGTCTGGCTTGGCGCGATGATCCCCTCTTCTCGATTGGCGAGTTGTTTACCCGATTGCTGCCTCTGCCGAAGCCTAGGGCTGTAGCTGTGGCTGGTTTTTTGGCTTCGGGGGTCCTCCGCCTCTGTTCTTCCCCGCGTTCTGGGAGCGGGGCTCACGGTGAGTTGAATTGATGTTCCAATAAAATTCCCGAACTTGAATAATGGTGTGATAGAAAGGAGTAATCCAAGCTTTTAGGGAAAAGAATCCCTTTGTGTGTTCTTGGTTTGGGACAAGCCCCGGTGGGTTGAATCATGTGTCCTTGGCCGATGTATAACCTTTCCGTCATGGTTAAGTATTCATCCTGGCAACCAAGGCTCACACCCAGCAAGATCAACCTCGCAATTCTCGAGGCAATAAAAAACAGCACATGGCTACATTTAGTCCATTGTGTATTCCCATTGTGGAGGAACGGCGCAAGTCAATAGGCCACTGTTGTGCTGATCTTGTTGAAAAAATAACTGACCTCAAAATGTAAAATGTCTGGAACCAGTCTCAAATAGTAGGCCAGTTGGTCAGTCCCACTAGCCCTGATTTAGAATACATACAGGGGGCAGATCATCAATGGATAGTTTTGGAAAGTTGGGAATTCGGCCTGCGCAAAAAAAAAAGAATTTGATAGACGGCAGTGTTGCTCCGATCCAAAACATGTGAAACAGACCTGATTACGGCCCCCAATATTGTATAGACGTGATGGTCCGATTGCTAAAGATGGTCGGGAGGAGCCCAATTTGAGCTACTCCGAAGCTTCAGTTACTGTGGTTGACTTGCGCTTTGAGGGTAGGCAAGATGGTTGGCCAGACCCTCACATGACCAATAAGCTATACTAGAGCACCTTATGTTGACAATATCCGAACCCTAACTAAAGCTATTGACCGAAGCCAAGCTTCCCATCGTTTAAGTGATCAGCTGCGCTATAATAAGTTCGATGAGAATTTTAATGCCTTGACCCAATTGTGCGGAATCGTTTAAATAACATTCCAAAGGAAATAACAAAATGTGAAGATCTTCATATTTGCATTGTAATCTCGGGCCATTCCAGAACATCACATAGATGAATTCGACCCCGTTATCCGAAGTACGGTGAGGATTGCATTGCATTGATTATAAAGCCTACCAATCCTTGTTATATACTAATATCCCAGCGCCGCATTGACTGCAGCCACATCCCAGTAGAACGGCCTGAGTTCCACTATAAGCCCCTTCTCCAGGTCCACAGTGAAGGCCTGACAGAACGGAAAATCCATCTCTTGTCCAGTGGATCGCACCCTTAAGTGAATATTCGATAGCACCACAACACGGTCCGATCCAGGGCGCTCAAAGATCTCAGGGTTCTGCACGTCCACAGTATCAAAGTAGTCACTCATGCGGGTGCTCCAGTCCTGGATTCCTTTAGGTCCGGTATAGACGCCGGCATACGGAAGGGCGGAAGTCTGCTCTAGACGGACATCAGGTGCGAGCGTGGCGGCGATGCCGGAAAAATCACGGGACTCAGGGGCAGCGGACATGTATGCCCGTTCTGCATCATAAAACGCATCGAGAACTGCGCGTGCTGTGTATTTTGATGTAGAAACCATGTTGTTGGTAGGTGTTTTCTTAGTGGAAGGTAGAGGTGAAGTTCCAAGTTAATCGGACGGTTCAATTTAAGACGGAGTATGTTGGTAGAGGCAAAAGCTCATCTGACCTGCGGATAGCTGATCACTTTAAATGCGACTATAGTACTTTGTTAAATACCATGGTTGTACTTTTTATACCTAGTTGATAGTTAACTATGGATCGGAAGATAGTCGGATTAATAATCCATTCCACCCAAAAGTGCTTATAAATGCTTTTCCGTCCACGGGTATGACTGACGTGGTTCCTGGTCGTACCGGCATCCCGGCAGGCACATCGATTTTTCTTCTCCTCACCAAATCTCCTATTTTCAAACGCTTACCATGCCGCCAATCCGCAGTCAAAAGCTCAGAAATTAGTTGAGCAGGAAGGCAGAATTTTGCTAGCAATTAAGACTATTAAAAAATGGTCGGTTTACCTCCGTTGCCACTACTGCTCGGTCTTTCGAAGCCCCGCGCTCTACGCCACAAGACCGGGATTACTAGTTGGTCTGAAACAAGGGCTATCGGCCATAAATTCACCCAATTAGAAGAGGAATCAATCCATGATTGGTTAATCTCTATAGATCATGGAGGTACTACCCTTACTGTCGTTATATTAAGATATATAGCCATTTTACTACTTAAAACCCGTAGGGATTATACCCCCTAGACCGTTAGTAAGAATTAGCTAATATAACATATTAAAGGATATCACGAGCTTTCTGGTCGATCCTCTCGTAGATATAGTTATAAACGCGTCTTAATAGAAGATCCAAATACTATTATTGAGTGGTTTGAGCTTATTGAAAAAATGATTGCTTATTATATATAGTATCACTTCGGATAATATCTATAACTTTGACGAATCAGGGTTGCGATAGGAGTTAGTGTAACGACGAAGGTTATTATACAGTTATTTTATACCGGTCGGAGGTGGGTTTTATAAGCTTGCAATCGTGGATAGGTGACTGTTATTGAAACAATTTGCGCCTCCGGGCGAGCACTCCCACTATACGTTATCTTTTTGGTACAATACCTTGATGACTTTCTAAAATATGAGGCTCTTAACGTTAGTCTAAATGGCTAGACGAGCAATAAAATTGGCGTTAATTAGCTCTAAAAACACTTCATTCCGTATATAAAAGGTTAGATAAAAGGGAAACATTGCCTTTTAGTCTTTAATCGCCACGATAAAAGGATGTGTGTTACTGATTTCGACCTCGTCAACCCACATTTCCAATTACTCTCTATTTCAGAGGAGGGGCAATCTTGTGAAGATAGAATGTTCCGGTTTCCGGAAGGTCGACAGCTTGATTGGTGACGATGGCATCATCTTCTTCACGCCAGTTATTGTTATCTGGGGGCAGAAAATGCTGAAAAGTCCAGTTGAGCTTCTGCTCAGTTGTCAAATCAGGTAAGATGTAGTGAAAGCACTATCCTTGTCAAAAGAAGATTCCAATACAAGATTTAGTACTTTGAAGTTGATAGAAGTTGATGAATTTTGATTAATTTCCGATGATTCAGGGGGAGAGAAAAGACTTTATAACCTCTTATGGCTACTACTATGGAGGGGGAAAAGAAGAGGAAGAATTATTATCGATTCAATCTAGCAAATACAAGGTATTTATACCCTAGAAAACCATCCAAAAAGGCTCAGTCTGCTAACAAACATGCAGCTATGAGATGATCCAACAAATATAACCTCATACCTTGCACCCAGTCTGCCCATCATATCAGAAGGCTGATTTGAAAGAACTGGAAGTAGAAGGCAGTGTAAGGTATGTCTTACTGCAGGCCTGGACGGCCCGGGTCAGCAGAGATAGAGGTAGCGGGAGTCATATACTGTATTAGATGTTAGTGCTGCTTGACAGACCGCTTGAGTGCTAGTTTCCTAGCTCTCAAAGTGGAGGGAGACAAGCGGGTTCAAAACGAGTCTTGCCTTCGCGTTGTGGCGACGCTTTTGGGCAGTACGCTTACACTGGGGGGAGCTGAGCTCACCGCAAAAGGCGTGGAGGTAGGTAAAAAAGAATGGAATTTCAAGAGTAGTGGGAGAGACTGTTCTATAAGGAAAGTTCGTGCCCTCCTTAATATGAGATCACCCTTAAGCCTTCCGCTTTAGCCTTAGAAAGGTTGCTATATGCCTAATTTCATTCCAAGGTTAATCAAAGGGTCAGTGGTCAACTGACAAGCTTCCAAATTTAAACCCCTGTGCATTAGATTATTCAACTCTGCCTTCCTTTGGGTGTGTTGATGGTTGAACATGTAGTGTAACAAGATGTAGGTCGTAAGACAAATCCAATATCTTTCGGGATTTGTAGATGCTTCATTTGTGATCACATGCGCCCAGGTCCGTGAGTGAGAAACGGCCCAAGAGCCAAGACATCGTGTAATAGAGAGCTAGAAGATGGCGGTGTACATACAGAATTATCTAGCTAAGACATTTGTCTGTGTGTAGAAGGAGTCCGCGAGCGGCGATTGGCCATATGCAATTGTCCCGTTGAGTCTCATTGAGAGAGATGCGATATCTATGGGGTGCAATAAAATATAAACGAGGCGATTCTCCTATTCCCGTCAGCATGGTGACTGAACATTTTTATCGGGATTGAATTGATATCGGGATTTGGGTGGAACAATCAGGGAAGCTTTGTATGACCCCGGGATTAGGGCATCTGAGATCACCGAAGTTCTGCAACGATAAGGCCCACCTATCATGGCTTGATTTAAACTAAATCGAGCCCTAACAGACCCCGGTCTCAGAATAGATAACATATACTTGCTTACATGCGAGTTATCGAACATTCCGGGAACTATCCTCTGGCATGACA